TGATGATGATGATGATGATGATGATTCGCATCATGGATGTGCAGCCGACAAATCTGCGGCAACTGTGTGATGCCATCATGTCAATATGGACCAAAATCTCTGAGGAATGCTTCCAGCACCTTGTTGAATCTACGCCACGAAGAATTGAGGCAGTTCTGAAGGCAAAACGGGGTCCAACCCGTTACTAACGTGGTGTACCTAATAAAGTGGCCGGTGAGTGTACATTACTATTATGTGATGTTAGCTCAGGAGCTATGCAAAAGCTAAAAGGCTAAAGCTAAGGTGAGCTTTCCATGAAGCAGCTAATTGTCCTCCATCATCATTTTCAGTTACAGGCTGAGTCATTTCTAAACTCTCCTTTTTGTCAATGCGCTCTTGTTTAATTCAAAGCATTAGACATTGTTCAAAATTAATGTTAAAGCTGGACAGAGCTTACACCAGAGCAGCCAGTTTCCATCGCAGGCTTAAATTACACAGTGATGTTTGTGTGACAGTATATTTTTTAAATTTGTAAAACCTAAACAATTTTCATAGTCTTGTTTTTATAACTGAAGTTAATGTTTATCAAATAACATCTAATGTTACAACTAGTTTTCTTTAACAACAAAACCATAAACAGGAAGGTTCTGTCCTTGGCTTCAGTGTCGTACCTTTGTCACAGTTGAATCCATGGAAACCAGGAGGACATTTGCAGCTGTAGCTGTCGATGTGACGAGTGCAGGTTGCTCCGTTCTTACAGGGAGATGATAAGCAGTGGTCTACAGCTGCAACAGGTAAAATATTAGACTTTATCAACTGTTTTTCTTCAGAAATGGCAGATGTTCAATCATCTGTACCTGTGTATGTCCTCCAGAAGTTCTCCTAGATGCAGACAGAAGACATTGAAGAATCTTAATGTGGACAGATAAAAATAATCCATCTGAAACTGGACTCACCAGCTGCTGAGTTGTAGCAAAGATCTCCTTGGCCTCCTCGTAAGAACATTTCTCCTCCCGACATTCTCTCTCCAGGTTGCCCTGCCTCAGCTCCTCCAGCATGAAGTTGGCTCTACGGCTGCGGTGCAGGAAAACGCTGGCTCCCTGTTTGTCCATAAACATTCCCCCTTCATGGTAAATTGCACAAGAAGAGAATAATCCTCCATTACTACTTTAGCGTCCTTTAGCATTTAGCATCTGCAGCATCCTGGGAAGTGTTGTTCGGACAAAAGGTGAAGTAATGGTTAACTGATTTTGTTTATGGGTTACAACTATGAAGTGATCAAACTTCTCTGATGCCCAAGAAGGTTTACTCCAAGATCCAACTGACTGTAGAACCTTGAATTCAGGAGGAGCAACATGGATTTTGTCTGGTTCTTCCAACAGCGGACCAGTTCTTTACACTTGCAGAGTTGTTGAGAGGGTTGTGGGAGTTTGTTGATACAGTCCGCATGTGCTCTGTGGATTTGCAGAAGGTTCATGAAACATTCGATGGGGGGTTTCAAGGCCCATTAAGGACTATCCGATTTCTGTAAAAGTCCAAATGGTGTCTGAATCCAGTGTGGACTTGACCCCACCAGGGCTGTCTATAGAGAAAATCCCACTACATAAAGGAGCATGCGTGCAGAAAAATGTGAGACCACACAACATTCAAGCGAACATGCAACAAGATTTCACAATGGGAGTGCACACACACAACAAAATTTCAGTGAGCATGCAACATGATTTGCACACACACGAGTGTACTGATCTGCTCACTTGTGAATTTAACTTTTTTTGAGACGTTGTTGCATTCAAGGCTGGTGAAAATATGGGAAATTTGAGATTTATCACATTTACTGGGTTATTGGAAAAAATATATTTAAGTTATGGTTCATAAATTCTTAAGGGCTCGACACACGGGAGGCGACGTCGCTCGCTCTGCATTCATTTCCTATGGAGCCTGTGCGGTGAGGCGACAATCGCTTGCCGTCCAGCTAAGCGACCGGCAAAAATAGTGCATGTGAAATTTCACACTCGTACACGTACACGTGCACACGCGAGCTTGCGACGCGACATATGAAAGTTGAAAAATGTTCAACTTTTGTCGCTGTCGCTTAGCGTACAACCAATCAGCGAGGGTTTCATTGGCTGAGAGGAGAGTATGCTACACACTGCCGTTAGCTAACACTTTCACCAAGTGATTACTAAAAAGCTTTGTGGGAATTTATTGGCACCAGGGTGAAGTTTATGGCAAGTTTTCCCCATAAAACTGTATCTTGATGTGTGTTTGTTTTTCAATATCATTAGCATCGCAAGATTTGTTTAGTTTACACGTCCGTAATGCACACCCGCCTTCAGAGTCAAGAATCAATCAAATTTTGTGAAGACAAGCGACCTGAGAGCGTGATTCACAACGCTGCGATCGCTATCGCACCCCGTGTGTCGGGTTTCACCCTGGCTGTGATGAAAGCCGTTAATCGCTGTAGTTTGTCGCTGCCCGTGTGTCGAGCCCTTAAGAGGTCGGGTGTAATGTATGTTGGGCAATGATCAAAGGCGAGGACCTTGGTGGTCTGATCCTCGGCTACAGAAGCTGGCTCTGGGAAGGTGGAATGTCACCTCTCTGGTGGGGAAGGAGCCTGAGCTGGTGTGTGAAGTTGAGAGGTTCCGACTAGATATACAGTAGTTAGAATCACCTCAACGCACCGCTCTGGCTCTGGAACCAGTCTCCTCGAGAGGGGTTGGACACTCTTCCACTCTGGAGTTGCCCATGCTGAGAGGCGCAGAGCAGGAGTGGGCATGCTAATTGCCTCCCATCTCGGTGCCTGTACGTTGGGGTTCACCCCGGTGATCGAGAGGGTAGCCTCCCTCCACCTATGTGTGGGGGGACGGGTCCTGACTGTTGTTTGTGCCTATGCGCCTAACAGCAGGTCAGATTACCCTCCCTTTTTGGAGTCCTTGGAGGGGGTGCTGGAGAGCGCTCTTGATGGGGACTCTCTCGTCTTGCTGGGAGACTTCAACGCTCAGGTGGACAAATGACAATGAGACCTTACATGACTTACGACTTCAAACACTCCCACCTGAACAGAAACGCATGGCCTCAGCAAATTCCCCAAACCTAAACTTTGGGGAAATAAAAAATATTGTGTGTGATAACGGCATAATTGGCATATTACATCATTAAGCCCCGCCCCTGAAGAAATTGTCCAGTATTTTGGAGGGACTGAGTTGTCAACCCTGTCAAGCGGTGTTGCTACATGCTACATGTAAAAGAACAAACAAAACCCTCCCGGAAGTATTTCTTTTAGCGCATGTGTAAATGAGCTGATACGGATCAGTTCTCTGGGACAGATGGGGCAGTGACGGGCATTTTATCATTAATGTGGAGTGTTGGCATTCTAACACTTTTAGCATGTTAGCATGTTAATCTGAGACAGCTAATTCTACTACTTCTGTTAAAGCCTGTAAATATTTTATAAATGTAAAACACAGGCAAATATAAGAATGCATTTCTAGGCAAAGTTAGACAAACAGCAATTAATATTTTTATTAGAAAAACAAGATAAATTTAATTAAAATGTACTAAAACAAAAATACTAAATAATTTACTTTTATTTTACCAGGGGTTTAAAATTTTTGAGTTTTTACTTCCAATAGCTGGAATTTCTCATACAGAATCAAATCAAACATAATGTAATGTTTTAACAAAATTACATGGCACCTTTTATTGCAATTTAGAATTTTTTTCATCATAAACAAATAATACAATTTCATCAAAATTTTTATTCCAATAAAAATATGTTAAATATTTTTCATCTGCATTTCAGTAACACAAACTTTGTTTTAAAAAAGTAAACATGTAAAAGTCACGTCGTCAGATTGTGGTGTGGGGTTGAAATGTTTTTCAGTTTTCCATAAGAGCCTCTTCGATGAGCAAAAACAGATTAAAGATTCTAGGAAGACTTAAAGGAATAAGACTGACCTCCTGGAGTCCCAGTGCATGCTGGGAAAGGAGCCATGATCAGTGAGAAGAAGAAGAAGAAGACACGATTTGTTTCTCTGTTGATGAACGCCATGATTGTTCAATGGTTCATAGGTCACGAGTGACAAACAGAAAATCCCCCAGCAGCCAAAGGTTTCTGTCACATTATTGATCAGTCCTTCTTCCTGCTTTCAGCTGAAAAAGCTGTTTTTATTAACTCACTCTGCGGGGGAGAAAAATCCAACAAAATGAACTTAACAAAACATTTTGGATTAAAAATGAAAAACTCACAAAATATAAAACTTTAAAGAATCTTTTTCTGATTTAATAAACTTTAAGACATGTTTGGGGTTTTTAGATTTTATTATGGTACTTAAAGATAAAAGTGAAACATAATCAATAGTAGTTTTGTTTAATAAATTTAATTATATAGTTAAACACAAAGTACCATTTGTTTAAAGTCTGCAAATTAAAAAACAAGTTAAAGAAATATTTCATAAATAATAAATATATTTAATAATCATTTGAAGTTTTCCTGTATAAATATTTGCTTAAAGCTCACTAAAACTAAACTACTTCATTAAAAAAAATAAAATGAATAAATAAAGTACAATTAGATTTTAAAGCTTGTTGCAGTTTTCCTCCCATCATTCAGGGGGCGGCGCTGCGCTCATCACAGCTCCTTCAGGATGTCGGGGAGGAACCCCTGAGCGTCTCTCAGCTCCTCCTTCCACTCAGGTGGGATTCCTGCTCCGGCATGGGCAGCTCCAGCACCCAGCAGGGCCCCGAGCGCGGCCCCGCGGTTACAGTTTTCACCTGGACATCCACAGAAACAAACAACAAAACTAATAAAAATAACACCTAAAAATATTATTTATACGTATATTTTATATAAAAACTACAGCTCTACATACAGCCCCAGCTCTGATTGGTCAGCATGATCAGGCTCCACCCACAATTCTTAATTTTTGATAAAATTCTAAAATTTGGACAAGATTTTTTTAACCGAATTGAATTTCAGAACATGTCAAGTTCAGAGAAGCCAGGATATTTAAAAAATCTCACAAATTTCAGAATAAAAGTATTTATTTATTTATTTAATCTAATAATTCTATGAGGACTTCAAATAAGTTACAGATTCTGTTATAAAAATGTTTCTGACCTCCACAGTTGGTGTTGGTCAGGATTCCTCCTTTCAGGTCATCGTGAAACTCATGAGCTAAATAGAACAAGCTGGACAGAGCACCTGTTGGACAAATAGACACAGGTGAGCGCTCCGATCACAGGAAGTGACACTGTTTCGCTCAGGTTCTAACCTTTGTTGTAGCAGGCCAGTCCCAGGTGGTCCACAGCTCTTTGATGGACCTTCAGTCTGTCCTCAGAGGACACCGGGAACCTGAAAACATAAGGAAACATCTGGGGTTAAATTCAGCTTTTTGAAATACCTCCAGCGCATGAGGAAGAGGACACCTGAACAAGTCTGATCTGAGCTCAGAAACTTCACATGGATATAAAAATAATCTTCTTTGAGAAAACCATCAGGAAATTAACTTGATACCTCAAAAAAAAGCTCGTTATTTCATGATAACAACATGACGTTATCACCAGAAAACCACGGGGGGGAATTATATACGAAAAACATCCACTCTTGGCTTCTGTAGAAAAACACCTTAACGACACTAAAGGAATACTAGTTTCTAACAGGCTTTTATTGTGAAGGAGCTCAAAAGAAGTGGTGTTTGATTGACAGGAAATAAAACCTGATGTTTCACATTCAACACGGTTCAGTCGGACCTGGCAGCCTTGCGGCTGAAGCTCTGGCAGGTGTCCCAGGTTTCCAGTGTCCTCAAAGCATGCTCAGCCTGCTGGCGGACGCTGGCTCCGCCCACAACGGCGTGCAACACTCGACTGTAGATGGACACGTACTTTGGCACATTGGGGTGAGGATGGGTGAGTTTTACGAACTCCACCGCGGCCGACACCTGAACACAGAGACTGGTAAAGTTGAGGCAGGATGACTGGGGACATTTTTGGACACGTCTCTGATCTGTGTTCACTCACAGCTTGCTCCTCATTGGCTGACAGCAGAACAAAGGGGAGGATCATGGGAAGGCAGCCAATGGCGTCCAGCTGGCCGTCAGGAAACGGAGAGCTCAGCATTCGTCTGGAACGTGTCTCTGCAAACATTAGAACCTGGAGAGGACAGGAAATCAGATCAGATGGGACAGAAGTGTCCCCCGGTTTCCAGCGGCTTGATGAGGAGCGCTTGTTTTACCTCACGGGGACAGGTTGGTCTGCGGTCCCGCCAGTCGGCGAAGAACGACCGGTGGAACGACTCGGCGTAGGTGTCAGCGTGGGAGCTGGGTGTGGTCAGGAAGTGGACGTAGTCCGAGAGCACGGCGGCTCTAGCGTCCGGCTGGGAGACGTCGCTGAAACGTCCGTGGACGAGAGTCTGAGCCGCTCGCAGGGAACAGAGGACATTCAGGGTGTTGTCCCCGGCCCGAAGACCTGCAGGACCAGACAGAAACCAAAAACTGATCATCCACAACAGAGAGCAGATAAACCAACACAGAGACATGAAAAGAAAACAGAGACATCAAAGGACAATAGGGACACATTTAAAAGACACACAGGGACCACAGAGAGCAAGGATAAAAACAAACATAATGACTTGTCTTCAGTACTTTGGTGGTAATGGACCGAGCCTTTGGAGGACTTCCACAAGTCCAGCTTGTCATGGAGGATGACGTCACCGACAACACTGGCCCCTTTGGTACCGGTGGACCAGGTGGTCCGCCCACTGCCGGCTGCAAAGAACAACAGCATTAATCAGTGAGGCGTTCCACAGGGATACATTCTCGGGTCTCTTCTGCTTTAATTGAAACAGGAAAAGGTTTTCATCACCAATATTAAAGACCACAATCAGAGATCACAACCTTTTTACAGGTTTAGAGACAAGAACATAACTTTGGATGACAGATGGGGGTCATACCGGTGTTGGACAGGGTCAGGATGCTGGATGGGTGCCTCTCTGCGGGCGAGTTGAAGCCTGAGATCCAGCCTCCAAAGTCCCTCTTGATGTCAAGGACGTCGTAGTACCAGTGGACTGGCATGGACAGTGAGTCTGCGGCACACATGGCCCAGAAGGCCTCCTGCACAGCCTGTCGGACCGCAGACATCTCCAACATCAGAGACTTCAGAACCAGCTGAAAAATGATGACAGAGGCAGGGAGAGTAAGGAAAATAAAAATGGATGACCCAGACTTTCCTAGATTCTGTTAAAGCAGGTCTGGATCATTAGTTCTCTACACTTTCTGGGGGAAAAAGTTCAGAGGTTTTTATTTGATGATGGCCTCTAAATCATTCAGACATAATGAGCCAGCTGATTCTTTAGGTTGTCAGCTATAACTAGGTAAGGTGGTGATAATGTTCTGGTTGAGTGTTGTAAATAAACAAACACATTTTTAACATTATATAATTTACAGTAAAATAAACAGAGAAACCCCTCACCTGTCCGAACTTTGACACCTCTCAGAAACTTACATAAGTTCCTTAAAACGTTATGAAACCGAGCCGGAAGTGAGCGGCAGCTGGTTCTGAGCGGTGAAATCAAAGAGATCCCAGGTGGAGGTGCAGTTTACCTCCGGACCGTCGGCTGGTCTTGTCCATGTGTGGATCTCATCCACATCCACAATTAAAGTGATGCTCGGTTTATTTACGTTTTGTAAACGCGCTGTGGTACGGAACCCGGCTAGGCTCAGTCTCATACTCACGAAAACCCTGAGTTTAGACTCACAGGCTGCAATATGCTTCTGTGTGTGGCAGGATGAATTGCACCTGCTGGCAGGGTAATTGTGGTGTGGCAGCCAATGACACTAGAGGGTGCTCCCTATATA